ATAGACGTGCACTAATTATTGAAGCTCTATCATTTGGGGGGGATTGGATTCATTCTTGGATCTGTCATGGAAGGAAGCCTCTCCGAAATGTCTTACCAAAGAGTTCGCAAACTTCTGTAAGCACCTAATCGAATCGTGTGACAGGTTAATATACAACTGTGCTGATCGACAAGAAGATTAGACATGGCAGCACTTTTGTCTCAAATGGAGTCCGGACTCACCCGCTCTACTGGCGCCAGTGAACGGCTCAAATCACAGGTCAAGCGGATAGATGAATACATGGATACGACTCGGCATGCCAATATGCGCTCTGAGCAGCCAGGAATTGATCAATCACAACACTTCGAAGGCTACATGAGACCTACCTCAGGCCACCCAGCAGACTTTGATGACCCACTAGCTTATTTCGAACTGCCTTCAGATTTGCTGGATGATTGGCCCTGGTCGTCCGGTGCTGGCTTATTAGAAGGGATGTTTCCGATGGCTTTAAGGAAGACAGAAGACTAGATGGTTGTTTGTTGGCTCACTCTCCTCATTCGTGCCTAGTACGATAATATGGCGAATGGCAAGATGACAAGCTCAATTTTTCTGGACTTCCAGTGTGAGTGTCCTGTCAAACATGGTGTCTAGATTGGAATGTAACTATCCGAGGGGTATGAGACTAAAAACAAGCTACATATGCTAATGCATCCCTGGCGGTCGACCGGGTCGCCTCTAATTGAGTGCTTATGTCTATTTCAGCGGTAACTGGTGTTTCATGCTCACGGTCCGCTCGTTGAAGAATAGAAGGTATGATAACTTTGCCATCATGATCAATTTCACGTGCTGTTAGCTGCAGTATTCCATGCCGTAAATTTATATCTACTTTAAAGCCTTGGTAGTCAGAATCTAAGCGCTTCTATCCCCACCCCAGGCTGGCCGAAGTGGGGGTAGGGTGGCACTCCCAGTAATCCCAATTTTCTTGGATGAAGTCTGAGGACTCGCCGCACTGAATTGGCGTAGGGAGTACATCTCTGCCCACACTTGAGTCACCGTCGCATGCATATGGAGCCGTGACATTATACTAGACGCTCGATGTGCATCATTTTCTTGCAACACCGTCTCCAGCTGCTCTAAACAAAGTCGAACATGTCTGTTTTCGTAATGTGCCATCTTCTTGAGAGATACGACCTTGCAATGCCTGTCTAGTGTGTCGCCCGTGATCCCGTTAGCTAAAGGGCGTGACGATGATAAGTTCAGAACATCAATTGAATTTAAGACGCCCTCAGCTTTATCTCTCTCAATGCTGCCGTAGTCATTCCAGAGCCGGACCCCAGCAGCAGCATGCCTGCAGAAATCCTCAACGATGTATTGTTCTTCTGGGGTACGGAACACATCATCGTCTTGCTGCGCTTGGCTCATTCCCATGTGTAAAATCATGTATTTTAGGACGACAGGGTACAGTACATTGTCTGAGGCAGGCCCGCGTAGCCATGAAAAGAAGGTTGTCTTTCCGATTTGATCATGGAGGTCTACCCCCTCATGGGCTAGGCCCTTGGAACTTCTAATATGGCCAATTTGCGCGAGTAAGGCAGATCGCAGCTCACTGCGCAGGTTCAATTTATTGTAAGTGCTCACGGGGCCGGTGGTATCGGTGAGCACAAAGTTCATAAAGGACAGGAACATTGCTTTTGCCTCCTTTACTCTTGCGTGCTGTTCTCCATTGCACTCATTGAGTTCATGGGTTGCATCAGGTCCAGTGGACAAACACCTTCCGGTATGCAATTTCTTCTGTATGAAATCCTCCAATTCATCTAGCTCTAGCGACGAGAAGTTAATCACCTGGTGGTCCACGAACGTGTCAAGCTGGTATGTCGCTACTGTGATCCGAAGTACCATCAAGAGATAGCCTGTACTCAGGAAGTATGAGCCTTTGTAGTTGCTCGCCACGAAACAAGACGCACAGTAGAGGAGGTATTCTTCGCTGAGTTTGGCCCGTTGTGAAAAGAAGTCAATTTTGCGTAGCTCATCGATTATCATGTAGCCCTCGCGTACGGAAGCCTCGAGTACCCAACTCGGGATGTGGGAAAATGACGGGAGTGTCCGCAGAAAGTTTCCTTGCTTCTGGATGACAGATCCTGGGATATTGAACAGACCGCCCAATGTCTCACTGGCTTGGATATTGGGCGTTGGCGCTAGCGTCGCGGAGATGATATAAGACCTTGAAACTGTTTCAATGCTATAAAGGGTTTTGTCAATCCAGAGCCGTTCTCTGATTGAAATGTAACCACGACTGCATGTGTATCGCAGATACGACTCTGCTTGTTCAATAGCAGTTAAGGATGCATCTCGCAGCTCACCTCTGAAAGGTAGTGTCAGGAGTCTCTTTATCGCCAATGTTGCATACGACGTCTCCTCAAGGCTGGATCGCGGTCCCCAGGATCCGTCAGCATTCTGGGTTCGAAGGAGCTTAGTCAACGCTTGGTGAACAACCAGCGGAATTCGGGCATCAAGGCCAGTGCTGCTGGATGTAGCAAAAGCGTCGCTGTTCCATTTGTGTATATAGTCCACTATTCCTTCACATGTTAACATAACGGGGTAGTAGGGAGATATGTTCTATGAACTGTGTCAACATCTGTTCTATCGAGCCCAACATCTGGTGGTAGAGCCAATTCCTTACCCATTTATCTTGAAGAAAGCCATCCGACTCCCACCACGCATGACACAAGAACCGAACACACTTTTCTATCTGGAAAATGTATCTGCTATTATTTTCCATGTGAAGGAGGGCCATTAGGACATGAGCGTTAGTGCTGACGCTTGGGTTTCGCTCGATTCCAAAGGTCAGAAAATGATCGTGTGATTCGAATTTGCTGATTAAAGAATCTGGACATGCTGGTAATCCCAACAGTCTCAGGAGCAATAATGCTTTCGCGGTGTCATCGGCGTCCACGCACATTCCCGGTGCTAGAAGGGTTCCCAGTCAGCGTCATTCTATTGTCTGTCGTAAATCTACCCCGAACATAGACATTACTCACCAAATCCGACTACCTCATCCTGTGCTTTTAACATATCATTTACTTTGAGTCCAATATTCCTCACCAATGGCTCTGTTTCCTTGCTGAGAGGGACCTTGTTTTTCAAAAGAGTGACGACTATCTGCTCGCGCGGAAATCGACATCAGTATTCGACAAGCCAGTAGTTCATCACGGAGGGATAGCTGAAGAAGAAAGGAATGTGGAAGATGACTGGGAACAGAGAGATGAGAGAGAAAGGAATTTACGAACCCATGAGGATTCAAACGCAGTCGTCGGATATGTTGAAGGCACGCCGCCATTTTGACCCGCATGCGGACAATTGAGCGCACGGCGGATATATGCCTCTGCATCTGCATCCCAATTCTCGCTGTAAATGAGATACGCGGCCGTTGCTGACGGAGAGCCCATCATGCTGCCACATGTTTTGAGCATAGAGACCCTATTAAAGTCTGCGTACCCAATAAGCCCCTCCAGGGAGTGTGCAACGGAAGTAAATCCCTTTTTATAAAGAGTTTCGATCGGGAATCGGGAAATCTTTTTGTCCCGAGCTGGCAAAATCCAAGCGAGCACAGCTGCATTGTCGAGATGGATGCCTTCTTCCTCAATAAGCTCCAACATTTTTGGTAGCCACAGTTCAGCGCCGATCGGAAGCTCATATGCGACTGCAGCTGGTAACATAGGAAGAGTTTGACGCAGAAAATGTGTAGCCTTAAATATTTTCTTGCCCAATGCTTGACGGCTCGTGTGATCCTTCTCTTCGTTCTGGTGTTTTTTGAGCGCAAGGAGACCAGCAAGTGTACAGGCAATACGGTCAAACAAAACCGCGTCTGCATCCCATCCGCCATCCTCACACTGGGCTTCTGATAGAAACTGGAAACATTCAATGAAAGCCCAAGCCGTCTTACTACCTGCCACCGGTTTCTTTACCATTGAAACCCAAGCGGTATCGTAGATGCTACCTGACACCGCACCGAACCCATAATCAGGATGCTGTTCTTGTCCCAAATATTGTAGAAGAGTAGTAGCCTCTTGGTCGTAGGACACTTGGACCTGCTGCTCCGACTTTTGAGGTATCTTTGGTCGCATGGAAAGCATAATGGAAACCCAAAAAATCAGTCCTGCCAGTAAGCTTTCTGACCTTTGATAGTAGCAGCCCAATGTTAATACTTGGGTCAAATTGTTGCGCCTGTAGGAACTAAATGAAATGCGACGAGCGTCGTTGGACATGGCATATATGTTGTCTATGTCACTCCGTCCATATTCCCAAAACGAGTAGTGCATGTTCATCATGCCTCATTTGATCGAATACATGTCGGCAACAAGGAACCAAATAGGAAATACATGAATTTTAACGCACGGGTAAGGAGCGCGGGATGCAGAACGCCGTATCATCTCTCTTACCCATTTGAGTGGGTTGCAGTTCGGTAATCCGGTTTCCTGGAATGTTCAATGAACCGTTCAGGTTACCAACATACTTATTAAACCGTTCTGCTCACTTGCAGGATTAAATGGCTTGATTCTCTCAAGTACAACCCATTTGTCTACCACGTACACAGCTTTTGCCCAGACCGCCAGGGCATCCGCCAGTTTGATTGGTTAGTAACGTAGTCCCGCGGGACCCTATAGCAGTATCTGCCATGAAAACAATTTGGGTAAGCTGATGATGTATATGACTGGATTGTCAGCATTAGTATTTCCAAATCATGATCTGCAACATTAGATACCTTCTATAGACTGTTGGTCATCCTCGTACTGCTTTACTGTTAATCAATCCAGGAAATTCTTTGCCCTCCTTGCCTTCTTTTCTTATGGTAGTCTCCCCTGCTTTGCTTGCCATTCTGTCGATTATCGCACCACTTGTTTCCGCCCATGACTACCATCCTATAGCCCGTACCTTAGTTGTTCGACAACTAAACGGCAGAATTTAGGCAATGCTAAAACGACAATCCCCACGGAGGCGGCCATGGCGGCGTCGGCGGATTGATGCTCGACCCCATAGACAGCTGCAACGACCCCCTGATCTTTATGCATCACGCCTATCTGGACAAGTTGTGGTGGGAGTGGCAAATGGCCAACTACCCGCATCGCCTGTACGATAAGGGCGGCAATAACACGGCACCTCAGTACATCCTTGATCAGGCCGGTCTATCGCAGCCTGGAGCTAATATCCTAGATTCTGACGGGGGTGCGGGAAGCACGACGACGCTGAACCATACGCTCTGGATGAACACAGTTGTAGCCAATACTACAGTTGGGGAGGTCATGCATCTGAACGGGTCGGTGGTATGTGCGGAGTATGTGATCGATACTAAAGCGACGAGGTATAATACCAGTATCCGGACATATGGACATTATACTTCAGAGTTTTAGGGGGCTTAGAGGATAAGGTCCAAGGCGAATTGCCAAGCTATATTTGGTGAGCTAGTCTCTTGGAACACATAGAATCGAGAAACAAGTACATACACCCACTTTAAGATTAATATAGCATGTGATCAACGTGAGGGGGCTCATGGTTATAAGCCACATTGCGCACTTCAAATTTGGGTAACAAACAATTGAAGAGCACAAATTATCACTGCAACAGCTACCTGTGTCTGGAGGCGTGTCTGAATTGCTTACACAATGAGTGATAATCTAGGACCATTGCCAGCCATATAATCAGAAAGGCGGGCGGCCACAGTATACAAGATTTCTGGTGTATGAAGCAACCCTGAAGGTGTTCAATGATCATTTTCTCTGACAAACCCATAATGTGAATTGTATGGGGCATTGAACAATCTTCTTGTGTGTACTCCTGCCTGAGGCATTAACTAGTAAACCAGGCATCATGTCTCTGACAGTAAGTGATACATAGCTAGCTCAACATTACTTTCTATTTGACATGGCTCTTAACTCTATGACATTCGAGCTGATGTAGTAACCCTCAAGCTAGTCATATTCCTTTACAAACTACTTTTGGTCCACAGCGAGCGGGTGGTGGGAGATACTGCCGTTCTTCTCCGCCTTAATATAACCTACACCTAATAGGGTCGTGCTCAACGATATCATCAATATCATCTCCCCATATAAGCTGACTGCGTAATACTTTCAGCGGAATATGTACTCTGCTCTATTACGCTAAAGACTGTTGACTATAGTGCTCGGCTATCATCTTCCAAATTCGGTGTTTAAACATTTCAGAGTCCTTGTAGTCTCTTGAGTCGCACAGTTATATATCTGTGATGTGCGTGATCTCTACCTCCAAGTAGTATCATATCCCCGGGTGATGAGTCTGAGATGAAGATCATATATCAATGGACAACGGTTTCAATATGAAGAGAATTCCATCAGCAACTCTAGAAGTTGTAAGAGCGTCTGTATGGTTGGATACTTTGCTGGCAGTAAACAGCAGGACATTGACATTTGGGCAGGGGCTAGCGTGCGTCTAATTACCACTCTGCGCCTACACTTGGAAGGTCAGGCGTGCTCACAGCCTCACCGCCTGCTACTTTGATCCAGCTTCCGGTGAAGCAGAAACCTTATAACCCAGGCGAAGAAGCGTCTTGATCCAGAAGGCGGTAAGATTTACATCTCGACCAAAAGCTCGCCTTACCTTATCGGGGAGTGAGCCTTACCTACTGAGGTAAGCGGCAGGGTATTGTGGCATTAGCGGAAGGGAGCGTCTCCCTATATTTGCCTGGGGGTGACGAAGAGCCTGCCTATGCTACTACAACTTGTCATTGAGCCCCAAAAGTTTCCGTTAATTATGTGTGCACTAGGATGATGTTGTATTAACGATCATATAGCGTGTCGCAACTAATCGGCTTTCTGTAACAGCAAGGGGCGCAGGCGCGACCCAGGTGATGAGACTTTCGGATCAGCAATTTCAACGTTGTCCTCCTCGAGCAGGTATTGATAGACGTCCCATGCCTGTACTTGCACTCGCCTAGACGAGGCAAGAACTGTTCCATCTGCAGCAATAGCTTCTGCGCGAATACTACGCAGTGCAAAGGGTACCTGATGAACTGTCTCAAATCCCCATCGTGCCACATTTGCCTCGAGTTCTCCGTTCCGAACATCCTCGTTCCATCCATCCGGTAAGCTGTCACTGGTGTTCACTTGCAATTGGAGCCGCCAATTGACCGTCTCGGTATCCCCATTCCATGATAAGTATATATCGGTTCCACCGCTGCCCCAATGGGTCTCATGTCGCTGAAAGGCTACCACAGCGGGCTCTTCACTGGAAAGGCCTGTCCAGTTTGCCCGAAAGGCCCGGTAGTTCTGCACGTCGCCGCGACTGAGCGGACGGGAGTCCAGATATGCGTGGTAGAGAGGTTCTCCATCGGAAGAAAATTCGGTTATCGCTCCCTCTGAGCCCCAGTTTATGAAGACATTCCCATTGTGAAGGGTTTGCAGTGAGCCTTGTGATTTCACCAGCAGTAGATCAGGAGGAATAAACGAGGACTCGAGGGAAGCATAACGAGTATGATGATCCAATCTGAGGGTTTTGCCGCGGGAGTATGGATAAATCCGGACCTCCTTGTCACCGCCACCGCCACTTTCAGAGCCATATACGCTGTTGTCAAATAGCGTTATTCTTGTCACGCCGTTATTGTCGACCTGATCAAGGTATCGGGCATGATGCTGGAAGCCAAACTCTACGTTAGGGCCCAGTGTGAAATCGGATCGTGACCCTCCTAGTCGCCAGATGACACTGCCATCTGTGCTGTTAATCTTGTAAATGGTGCTGGCATGACGCGCGGACACAAGGTAGTGACCGTCGATGCCCTTGGTCACCGAATTGATGTGAAAATAGTCCCAGGCAGTAGAGCTATTGTGGCCAATCCCCGCTTGATTATTGGGAAGCGGGAGAGCAGATTCTGGGATACGCATAGGCGTTAATATCTACACAAATATTTCCTTTTCTGATGCAGAGGATTCCACTGTGATAAACCAAAGAGGTGGGGGCCAACGTACCCTCCGGGCTAATATGATCCAGACTTCTCCATTCGAACAACACTTTGCCGTCACTGATATTCAATTCTGTGTGATCTGATAAGCCTTATCGTGTTCCGGAAGGACATTACAAACTATCCTGAGATAGAGCTAACCTTGAAAAATTGCGTTAACAATCCAATGTTGCCGTCGGTCGGATGTGTAACTGCTCAGATCTCGCACTTCCGGGTGATGGATCTGGATCAAAGCGGTCGATTCGTTCAAGATCTCGAACTCATGTTTATCGGAGAGCAGATGGTTACCCGCGCGGAGTTCTTTGATCGTCTCATACCGTTGATTCAGGAGCACATGGTGACCATGACCATGACCATAGAGTCCATTGTGCGCACCTTCGAATGCAGCTAGAACATCCTGACCATTCCACCGCGCGGCCTGAAAGTTTCCTGTCCAGGTCGAGAAGTAGGTGTACCCGGACCAGACGAGCTCACCATCGTCGCTGAAAATATACGCACCAGGCTGTTGTGGTGCTCGATGTGCCGGCTCGGAAACGGCATTGAACGGGGCAACGAAAATGTATCCTCGTTCTAGCCCATGGTTTGGAGGAATGGTGATATTGAGACGGGGTGGGGAGAGATCAGGTCTTGATTTATACCTATTATTGGCGATGACCACATGGCTAAACAGTATGTAATTCAGGCACAGCCATGGCATCCGCATGATAATAGGTAACAACATGGTTGAACGCTTCTTATCCAAAGAACACTTGGAGGCGGCCGTGACACTGAACTTAAGTAGTGCCACACAGGAATCAGCTAATCCAATCACCTCATCCGCCCTAAAATGAGGCGGCATACCAAGGAAAATGATCGTCAACTGGTATTGCATTTACCGCATCCCCGAGAATATTACTGCATGCTATACCGTGTGGCTTTCAGCAACCGAATAACTTGAAAGGTCTAGCATGAGCAAGAAAGTCGGAGCTTCATTGAAAGAGTACTCCTACTCCACATTCTAATATGTCCCCGCCACAAACTAATGCATTGAAAGACTTTGAAGCTTACTGAGAATGTAGAACTCCCCATTTTACTATGCACTTATCTATGACTGGTTTATATAACACTCGCAGAAATAAGGGAAGGAATATTGATCGATCGGCTGGAAGGGGCCTTTGACCGCCACTACATCCAAATTCATTGAGCACATCTGCGAATTTTCAATCTTTCAAGTGTGGCTCGAAGTGTACAGAGCCCGAAACCTGGTCTCTTTTGATAGCAATAATTCAGGCCTGTCAAATTCCATAAGTTCCCCATCTTCGAAGAGCGCAACCTTATCGAAGGCGGATATGTTCTCGTGTCGGTGCACGATTGAAAGAACGGTGCAATAGTTGAAATGACTAGCAACGATGCGTTCCATGAGCGACTGGGTAGAAAGATCGACTCTAGAGGCAGTAGTTAATTTGTGTACGTATTTCTCGGAGAAGGCCCCTAAGAAATAGAAGAAAAATAAAGAAAATAAAAAAGAAAATCCAATATTGGAAAGGATTATGGGCAACACACCGACTCATGGCTTCATCAAGGATTAGAACCACGCTCTTCCTCGCCATACTGCGCGCAAGTGCCAGCAACTGCCCTTGCCCGGCCGACCATAATTCCGGCTTTAGATCAGCGTCCAGTCCGCCCATCTTTCGAACAATAGCAGACAAATGGGTGGCTTCGAGGACGCCTTCCAGGGCGGATTCCGACAGTGTCTCATCAGGATCGATATTTAGCCGGATGGTTCCGGGCAGAAAGCACGGATCTTGGGGCACGACGCTCAGATGCTTGAGGATATCCTGTGAAGAGACATTGATGATGTCGACCCCGTCAATTCTAACGGCGCCGCTTTGTATGGGAAGCAATCCACCAAGACAGAGCACAAGGGATGACTTGCCACTTCCCGAGCGTCCGCAGATGGCGACTTTATCCCCTGGCTCGATGCGCATTGAGACTGTTTTCAGAACGGGATGAGATCTGTTATCTACGGGTCAGGCATCCATGCTTGCTGGCTACCGGCAGGCCACACATCGGATCGAGCGATATGCGTGATAGCAGGATAAGTGATTGCATACCTGTAAGCTGCGACAACCTTATCGAATTCGATTTCACCATGACTAGGCCATGATACCTTTTCATTTAGGGACAACAATGAGTTAGCATCGAAACGTTTACTCTGCTCTTCTGACGGCACGGTATCCCCGAAGCTTTTAATCCGGGAGACCGCCCCAAGGCATGATTCAGTCAGCGACCAAAATTTTAGCAAGCGTGCTAAAGACTGGGTAAAGCTCATGAGGGTCACAATTGCTGTTCCAGATGAGCCTGAATCGAACGAATCCCTGGTAAAGACGATGAGGATCATGAGAAGAACTACCAGTCCACTTGCCAACAGATCCATAGCGAGGGTCAACCACTGTTGGATCATGAATAGGGCATAGACACATTTCTGTGAGTTATCCACAAGCAAGAGGTTGTTACTCTCAAACCATCGTTGTCGGCGAAATGCACGGATGGTAGATACACCGCTCAATGTCTCAGAAAGATGTTGATACAATGGAGATTTGGTCTCGATGCTGAGAAGGCGTATTTGTCGAGATGTCCGGAGGTAGTACCGTTGAAGGAAGTAGCATGCTATCAGAAGAGGTGGAACTGTGAGGGACATGTACTTCGCTACGACGAACAGTATGATCATCTTCAGCAAACAAGCCCCCAGCGCTTCGGCACTTGTAGTGTTAACATTGAGCGGTTTCAGATACTTCGAAAGATAAATCATTATAAGCACACCAACATACCTTTCGTTGTGTTAATGGCGGCAAGCGGTAAGGTCATGTCGGTAAGTTCCAAGTCCTGGTTGAAACTAGAAGTGCAAGCGTTTGATCAGTAGCTGCGACTCTTGGGGGCTTCTCAGCGAGACTTACCGATTCAGAATGTCGCCTGAATTAGCCTCGCTAAGCCAGAAGAGCGGTGCACTAGCCATTTGTCAGCGAAGGGCGCAGGAATTACAGAGGTGTGCCGTACCGCAAAAGAGCGCTTAGCATGGATAGATGTAGACGTTCTGCAGTGTTGGATATCATACGAAGAAGGTAAATCCTGTAGCCGGTTATTGTCATGTAATACGTAGCATGTGCATGGGCTGTGGGTATACCATGAGCTGGCAGCGCCAATAATTACAGCACCTAGCCCAAGGGCAATAAAAACGCCCAAATACATCCAATGTGGCCTGTTTGGGCTTTCAGTACTGGCCTCTGACCACCACTTGAGCCAAAGTGCTGGGACCACTCAATCAGCTTTGGTTCAGGTACTACGTCGTTTTGGGAGTTAGGGACTGATCTCACTTGGGAAATTTTGGCAGAACGCAAAGACAAGGACAAGTACTATGTAAAGAACTGAAAGCCCCAAGCCTGCGGACTTTAGGTAAAATAGATAAACAGAGCGATCTTTGACCGGCTGCGAGACCCCCTGTTTTGTATCCAGTATGTCATCATTGGAGGAGATGTCAGCATCGAAAGATTGAGAAGGCTGCTGTTCTGTCGAGGCCAATTGTCCGTAGTCGTGGTCGTCAGGAAACGAAATTTGATGACCAGAAGAGGGTGTCGAAGGGGGAGACGGCTTGTATGTCACGACTGTACCCTCTTTTAGAAGATGAATCTCATCGGCAAAGGCCGCTACTTTGGCTATATAGGAGAGTCAGCCTAGTAAGCAGATCAAAGGCCGTTGAGTACAGGAACAAACCATTATGTGTCGATAGGATAACAGTAATGCCTCTGGAACGCAGGTAACCCGTATGCCTGTCCAGTAGCCTTTCACAAATACTATTTATATTGGCCCCATCAAGTCCGCTAAAGATATCGTCAAGGACTATCATCTTACAGCCGGAATAAAGGGCACGAGCAAGGGCCTAGAACAATATATTGCTGTTAATGGAAGAGAACATCTGAATCAAGATACAGCAGCATCTTACCAGGCGTTGTTTCTGCCCTCCACTGAGCATGAACCCCTGTCCTCCGATTCTGGTAAAGTCTCGTTCTGGTAGAGCTTGAACCTCCTCGGTCAAACAGCACAGCCAGAGTACGTGACGGTACCAGTCCGGTTGAAAGTCGAGCGGGCCAACGATGTTACCCCGGATACTGGTATCCACCAGCCAGGGGGTCTGGGCGCAGTATGCAATGGGCATAGAGACTATTGATACGCGGCCACTACTTACGGCGGTCTCACCTAGCACAGTCTCCAGTAGCATCGTTTTTCCGGAGCCTATTGGGCCCATGATCGCGGCGAAGGAGCCTCTTGGCACGCTCAAGTTTACACGGCAGAGCACATCGCATCCCGCAGGTTCCCACCTTATAAAAGCATCTCTGCATTCCACAATGGTTTCCTCATTTGGATCCAATAAACCGCTACTATCACTGTCAAGTAGGGTCCTCGATGCATTGTGTAGGGCAATATAGTCTTGAATTCGACTGAAAGAGCCGAGACACTGAACGATGGCTGGTAACGTTTGTATGAAGGTCCAGACTGGCATCGTAATGAGTGTCATTAAGGACAACGCTGTGAATGCCTGAGAGGAATTCAAAGAGTATATCTTTGTTGTGAATGAAATTATCGTGAATAATGTGAACGAGGCTGCCGGAGCAGCAAGCCACGGGAAGCTGGCTGTGGAGAATATGTCAGCAGAGCGCTGTTGCAATCAAACCAAACGTGCGAAGGTTATTAAGAAGCCGATGACAAGAGATGAATTGTTGTCTGCAGCAGTGGAAGGACACTTATAGATAAGAACTTCCCAAAATATCAGTATGCGAAATTTACGCGAAGTGGCGATCTCGGTAGAACGAAATCCAGCGATAACTGCCTCGACTCGTTTACAAAGACCAATCACTTTGAATGATTTTATGCTGCTTAAGGCTTGCCTGGTAGCATGCATTCTGAGCTCGACCTTCGTAACCCATGCACGCTGGGCCCTATTCTTGGACTTTGAGACTTTTGTTATTATCGAGATACATCCTGGTATGCGTCAGAGGCAAAGCTAATAAGGTACTGTATTGGAGATACATACCCAGGGAGAGAATGACGGGCATGATGCATGACACCGCAAGCTGGCGTTCTAATAGCCACAGTGCCAGCCCAATGTCAATAGGGGACGCCCATATCTCGTGTATGTCACGTAAGCTAGTTGAAATACGCTCCACGTCTGTCCCAATTAGTGTGATAGCCGTGTCAGTGCCCATATTGCCGGATCGTCGGGTGAGAGTCTGCGCATAGACTGCCGCAAGAAGACCGCCACGAATACTAATAATGAACTGATACGTCTGTCGACTATAGAACGCCGTGGATACCTAAGACACGTTAAGATTGGAATATGAATCGTGCGAAGCAACAGTTATATCCATCGTCCACTCACAGCAAGACCAATATATACAATTCCTGAAGCTGCTATCAACCCATACCCCTTGTTTCTTGTCTCTTGACCTTCTGGAAGTGCTGCGTATGTGGTAATTTCACTGACCAAAAGGGGCTGCATAATGGTAAATGCCGAAAAGCAAAGTCGAGGGATAACTGCACTGAAAAAGGCCATCTTGTACGTCCGTAAGAGTGTGATTGGCAATTGATGCCCTTTAGATTGATCGGCTACTAAACAACATCATGAGCTTTGATGTTCATGGCGAGTGCAGGGGCCATGTAGGACTCAGCGTGTAAGCATACCTTTCTCCCAAGACCTCTGTAACTGCTTCTTTAGCCGCAAGCTCGTTAACTCCAAGGCGACATGGGGGACATCTGGTAAGCCCAAGGGACGGGTAAACCCTTTCTGCAACACCGGAAGAACCCATGTTAACAGCCCCAAACCCAAAAGACCACTTGTCTCCTCGAAGGTTGTCTGTCGATGTCTTGATGCTACCAGTGAGTTGTTCTTTGTTAAGGATTCTGAGATAAGCAAAATAACGTGAGCGGCTAGCACAGTACTGCATAGGGCTGTTACGCTCGACGAGTTAGATGCCAACCAAAACGAACGGATAGAAACACCATCAAATAGCACCACCAGAAAAAGATAGATGTTGATTAGAAGTGGTGGCCGCTGTGTCCGATTATACTCCAAGTATGATAGACACAGTGCTACACAAGTTCCAGAAATTCGCAATAACTGGGCAGCCAAGCTTGCCGAGGTCTTGAGAACGGCTATTCGTTGACGGAACACGAGCAGTGCAACCTCGAGAGCAAATAGAGTGAAATACAATGTCTGCATCTTGTTAGCAAGGGAGCCTATATCCAAGGTCATCATTGCGCGACTCACCGAATTGTAGACAACTCTATACGCCCAGATATTTATAATCGGTTTCCGGTACAAATGCAACGCCCGGATGATGCCTAAGATAAGAAAGATGGAACAAGGAACACAAACTATAAAGACATCCTCGAAAAGCAAGGTAAAATCGAATGATCGGCATTGGGTTGCTACCACGGGGCCGAAGGAGGCATCGCTAGCCTGGCAAACGCTTTGAATTCCCATAGCGACAACTGCTAGAAAGGGATTATTAGGTATGCAGGATGGGGTTACAGTAAATAGTCACAGGCCCCAGGTGTTGGCCATGTTCCGACTTCGGCGCTCATTACTTGCCGGTCAAGTGAGGCGATGATGCTCATCAGGCTATCTCAGCCTTGCCTCAAGTACGAGATTACGCAGATCTTCGACCCGGGAAAGGTAATTGCTCGTGTGCTCCAACGCCTTACTCTTCAGATCTGTGGACTGACTATCGCGCAATCATCCTTCAGGGTTTGCAACGGACTACGCCCGTGTGCGCGGGAGGGCCCGCAGGCGGAGCGGCACGATACCAGCCAATCATACTGTAAATATGATACTTGAGTAGCATGACTTATATGGGGGCGATTTTTCGGCGACACCGATCTAGAACCCGCATGAGGGTGTTATCCAACATAAGCATCTGCTGCTGCAGGTCTAAATCTCATGCCAGCAGCAAAGAAGAGGCATGTATGGGAAATAACGTCATTAGGGTAAGCGATCTCGTCATGTTCCTGAGGATTGCCGATCAGTCGAGTCAGACGGCTGGACCCCTGCTTTCCATTGAGCGATAGACGGGAGCTTGAACTGGCAAGTATGGAATCGTCGTACTACTTAAGAACGATGAGTGTCACTTGAATTGTTGCTATCTAGCGCCCACCCATCTTTTCATCATCGATTGTGAGAGAGTAACGGGATAAAATCATGCCTCATTCAGAAGCCTCTCGGGAGCGAATGGAAACCAATGCCAACGTGACGAGCGGCGCTCAAGGAGTACGTATACTTTGTACGTTTGTTTCAGAGAGCATACTAATCGCGAATCCAGAAGAAAACCCAGATCCGGGTCCTAGTTGCCTGCCCTCGTTCGGGTTCCACACTCTTCATGCGAATCTTTCGCGAACTCCCTCGCTGTGCAGTTACGAGTCGCTTGATTCTGCAAGGAAACTATCACAAATTCAGCGACCAGACTCTAGCACGAATTAAGCCAGACTATACTATTTTCTCTCATCCTGAAGTCCACCCAGTCTATCAAAAAGCGGTGTCTGAAGGCTTTACCACACTAGTCACCAAAGAGGAATTGGGTCACGAATTCTTCAAGGGTGAATGTGACTTCAACGTACTGCCCAATCGAGACGCCTACGAGAAAACGCGGCCCGCGTTTCTCGTCCGGGATCCTGTGCGAGTGTTTGATAGTTGGAAAAATATGGGCTGGGGTAATCTATACAGCTTCTTCATTTGTTATCGGTCACTCTTCAAAATGCTCACGGCCAGCCCAACACCTCAGGTTGTCCTGTATGAGCAATTGGTGGCCAATCCCAGGGACACAGTAACCACACTGGCAAAGTACTGGGGCATTGAATATGATGATGGCTGTTTGGAGTTTAGGCAACCTTTTGGGGATTATCTATTCAACGGTTACCGAGAGCAATCGATTTATCAGGGTGCCGTTCCTGACGGCCTCTTCAATCGCGTCAAGTCTCACACCCACGTCGAGGACTTCCACGGCCATGGGCTGCTATCCGCACTTGAAATTGAACATATCGAAGCCGAAGTAGGTGGCCTGTACATGGAGGCCTACGGCCCCCAGCTAGATCCCATATCAATTCTTCTCTCTGGAAAAACGTGGTTTGGCTTCGATCTCGACGATACGCTGCACGAGTTTCGCAAAGCTTCTGCTCATGCCTCCCATGCTGTCTTCGCCGCAATTCGAGCCAACCATCCCGAGGCCAACAACACAATCGATGATCTCCAGGCTACCTATCGTGACATCCTTCGTTCGAACACTGCAAATGCGTTCACGGATGGGAAATCATCCGAAAATTATCGCAGCGACAGATTTAGACGTCTTCTCGAAGCCCATGGGCATACGCCTTCTCGGGTAGAAGTGGAAGAGCTGTTGGCAGTATACAAGAGCAGTCTCCGTGCCGCCCTGACCCTGAAGGCTGGGGCACTCCGTCTCCTACAGAAGCTCAAGTCTCATGGTAAGAAGATTGTTATCGTCACCGAGGGACCACAAGATGCACAAGAATGGACGGTGTCGGAGCTTGGGTTACAGCCATTCATCGATATCCTCGTCACTACCAATGAGGTCGGAGTGTCCAAGGTAGATGGTCTGTTTTCCGCGGTCCTAGAAAAGCACAGCATTGTCCCAACTGATATGGTATACATGGGGGATAGCGAACAGCGCGACATTGAACCAGCGCGGGCCGCCGGGATAGACACTGTGCTTTATGATGAGAAGAGCAACTGCCGGCTTCAGGACCCTCACGACCTGCGGCTAAACTCGCTCCCAAAACTGGAGTATCTGATGACCCGTTCTTGGGATGCCTGAGTTGTGGTCTCTCACTAATCTGCAGTCACAAGGTGATTCTGTGATGTAAATAGACTACTTAAGTCGACAACATGTTTGTATATGTTGGGAGTGCCGACTGTAAAGTGTGCATCTTGGATTTCAAGTATTTATCGGATAAAACTGAGGCGACAGCTGTGGTGGTTTCTTTCACTAGCTAGCTGCTCATCGTACAAAACATGGCTTATTTAGGTAAGAAGAAGCATCAAGGAAAGAAAAGAATAGGGATTTGAGCGCGGTAAGAAAATATCTACCAACAAGTGATTTATAGAGTATTTATTGAAATGATGGTTAAGCCTATACTTTGAGAGGCTATTTGAGGAGCAAATGGCAGGTGCTTCTGTGGGTGAAGGAATAAAAATGGTAAAGATTTTCGACTAGAAGAGGCGCACTCTTATCAGCGTCCCAAGTATCATGTATCCTCCGATTCCAACCAACAATTACTCACGATTTTGAAGAATGCCAATTAGTAGCTACCTCCAGGCTCCACACCAGCCTTCACTCCTGCCAATACCCTCCGCCTACCTTACAAGGTAAAGCACCTTCCCTATAGAATAAGGCTTGGTCCCCGTACTCACCGCCTGCTTCATACGGATCCTTACTGTCTGGGAAGTTGAATCACTGCCTTGGGCGCATGAGGTCATGAATGGCGGGCGGTATGATTATGCCGCTTTAAAAAGCAAGCCTTGCCTTATGGAGAGCGCATCATACCCTTACAGATAGGCGGCAGGGTGTGGCAGTAGCGTCTCCCTCAGAATATTTAGACTTGAAGTAGACTGAAGCCCCACCATCGATTGTATGCACAAACCCCAGTAGACTAAGATAGCGACGTATTTTGATATCATTGTTTTTCTAAATAAAACTATGGACCTTTGGGTCAAAATAAAATGCTGTCTTCATATATATCAATTATTTCCCTTTCATCTATACCACGGCTAGATCCGTGAAATATATCTTATCTAAATGCTATGCTGAGAAGTACTACGGATATTCGTTCCGATCTGACCTGGTCCGGCAATTGGCCATTTTAATGTTTTATCAAGCTTTACATATTAATGTTTCATTTGTCCGTGGTGTAAGGGTGGTATTATAATTTATATCCAATTGCTTTTTGATTGAGGCATTTTATTGATTGCGGGATTCTTCATAATCCTAGTCTAACTTGCCGATGCAACTAGTACCGAGATAGCTGACCACGATGCAGAAGAATCAAGAATCGGGATGATTGAGAGCTATTAGTGGGCCGAAAGTGGCTGATCTGCAAGACGATCCAGAAAGAAGGCCTTTTAGCGGCTTCAGACAAGGCAACCTTTAGCGTGAAGTGTAAAGCAAATTCCGATACGACCACGTACAGGCAAGAACTGCCGCTGGTGGTGGTTGATTAAATTTTTTCATCCCTGATCATATGAGGTGGCACGGGCTATTTCCTTGGAAGTGAGGGGTTTATGTGCGGGGCATGCATACTACGGAGCTCCAGGTTCGGAGGGGGGACCAGATCTCACTGGTTGAAGGTCATATCCGCATGCAGGCCTTTATAGGGAGGGACACTTAACTCCGTATGAGTACTGTATATCTTGCAGAAGTTCATATGCAAGCTCCGTGGCCTTCAAGCACAGGTGGGGGTGCTTGGGCCTCAAGTGCCTGCCTCAAAGGGGGTTCTGGGTGTTTCTTGCCAGGCACGTGAGTACCCTTCAAAACCTATAAAGGCCTTCATCAATATTCCAATGCATAATTGCTCCAACTTTCTGCTTCACTAATTATTTCGAACATTGATATCGGATTTTCTGTGTTTCAGTAACAAATCATAATCTTGATAGCTATCCTGTAACCCCAAAACAACAGTGTACTCGTGTACTCGATTGTGCCTGTCATGACCGTACCGCAAAGCTGCACTGTGCTGGTTATCGGAGGAGGACCCGCCGGTTCATATGCAGCAGCAGCTTTGGCTCGCGAGGGGATCGATACAGTCCTACTGGAGGCAGACAAATTCCCCAGGTCAGTGGTCACAATAGGTTTCCTGGAATTCTCAAAATCACCCTAGATTGCTGTCTGTTGGCCCAGCTCATGCGTGATAGGTATCATATTGGCGAAAGCACTCTTCCCTCCCTACGCCATTTCTTCAAATTTATAGACTTTTACGATACCTTCGATGCTCACGGATTTTACCACAAGGTATTTAATTGCTCCCCCATCCTCACCGGCCTTTTCTTGAATTGTGAGTTAACAAGCCATTTCAACACCGCTACATATAGAACGGCGCAGTTTTCCGACTCGCACAAGCTCAGCCTGATGCCTGTAAGTCAATTCCTACTTTTGTTTGCTAGGTACCTCTCTCTTGATACATATTCACATGAATATGCTAATACCTGTCAAGATACGGACTTTCTTGAAGCAGGCGGTCCTGATGCGTACGCTTGGAACTTAGTCCGATCAGAGTCCGACGATTTGCTCTTTAGACACGCGGGGACCTGTGGTGCTCACATCTTTGACGAAACCAAGGTCGACACAATTCAATTCGAACCACACATTAGTGAAAGCTCAAAGCCAGATAGTGATGATAACAAAATATTGAATCCAGGACGACCTGTGTCTGCCACATGGGTCCGCAAAGACGGCAGTTCTGGATTCATCGCATTGAAGTACCTGGTGGATGCTAGCGGGAGGAATGGCATACTGAGCACGAAGTATCTTAAGAACCGGAAATTTAACGATAACTTCAAAAATTTTGCAAACTGGGCTTACTGGAAGACTGACAATCTGTACGGTCTTGGGACGCACATGGAAGGTTCGCCGTACTTTGAGGCATTAGACGGTAGGTTCGGGAAAGAACCCATCTCCACCTCTCTGCTTGACTGTCGACCATTTTGCTGAGGAACAAATAGACGCCAGTGGCTGGGCTTGGTTTATGCCACTACACGATGGCACTCGCTCCGTGGGAGTTGTTCAGGACCAGAAACTTGTGACTGAAAAGAAGCGAGAGCTAGGACGTCCCTCGACCTTGGACTTCTATAAGCAGTGCGTCGAAAAGGCTCCCAGGACTAGCAAACTCCTCTCGGGAGCGGAGATAGTCACCACTGTCAGAACGGCCTCAGATTGGTCTTATACCGCGTCAACTTATCACATACCAAATGCACGCATCTGTGGGGACGCCGGAAGTTTTATTGACCCCTTGTTCTCCTCGGGTGTCCATCTCGCTGTGACAGGCGGTCTCTCAGCGGCAGCTACCATTGCAGCCTCGATCAGGGGCGACTGTGATGAGGAGACGGCGGGGTCGTGGCACTCCAAGAAAACGGTTGAGAGCTATACTCGATTCTTCTTGGCGGTTAGCAGTGCTACGAAGCAGATCCGTGAACAGTATGAGCCTATTATTCAAGACATGGAGGAGGAAGGATTTCAAAGAGCTTTTGATCTTCTGAGACCAAGTACGTACCAATTAAAGCAACATGTTAAGGCTTCAAGCCTTCCGTTGATGATTCAACTAAATTCCCTTTTTGGTTTAGTCATTCAAGGTACCGTCGATGCCGATGATACAGGGAAAATATCCCACTCCGAAATATCCAAGGCACTCGAGTTCTGCTTTAGGGCTTTCACATATGTCCCGCCAGAGAAGAAGGACGCACTGTTTGAGAAGCTGAAGAACCTTGGCGTTGGATCCGGACAAAAGGACGCGAGAGAGGCAAAGATACTGGATGGCTTAGAACAACACCTTACAACGGACGAGCTACAAGTGCTGGAAATACTACGAAGTAGGCGTATGATTCGTGAAGACCCCTTCGAGATGGATAGCTTCACCCTCGACACTATCGACGGAATGGCACCGAATTTAGTACGGGGTAAACTGGGGCTTGTTAAATCTAATCAGGCCAAAATCGATAGGGCTCATTTCTATTCACCGCAATTTCTGGACGGTAAGGCCCCGGGGATTAGGGATGAAAGCATTTTTCTGCCTACGTCAAGGGTTCAACTTGCATGAACAATTGTTCATATAGACGGGATAGGAAGCAGCTCACTAGCCACCTTATCATTCTGAAAGAGATGTTTTCCAGTTTCAGAACGCCACACCCAACACCTCACTACTTCTTTATGCATCTCTATTCTGAGATTTCAAATAAACAGAATTATGCATCTAAAACATCTATGGCTGGCATACGTTTACAAAGAATGAATTGTTCAGTATTTGCAATCTTTATATAACGAGTTTAAGATGTTCTATATCTACTAGCATATTCTAGGACTTGTCTAGAATCCTATCTCCTGTTTAGCTTCTAAGTGGGCAGCTTCATTACTCTGTGGTTCAGATACTACGGAAAGATTATACTTTTTCTGGCTTACTACTAATTCAAGGTCTCCAAGATATTCAGTGCCTAGAATCGTGTAATATGACCGTAACCTGGCGGGCAAGTGAAAGTCTAGAAACCCCGAGTCATTATCGAACCATCAGATAGATATTTTATACTGTGTTACCCGACATACATTGAACATCAACCGGGAAAAAAAGAATAGATAAATGAATGTATGAATGAAAAACTACGCATTAAAAGACATGGATAGCAATTTCAGGTATCAACAATGGGAGAGGTGCCGCAACGTTGCCCTTATTGAACTTCATTATAATCACTACCCTCCTCGGTCTTTCGGGAAGGAATTCCATTGACGGATGAACCTGCTTGATTGAACCAACTTATTGGCTAGCCACTAAAAGGTTTGGCACCCCGCTATCGAGACAAGCGAGGTTCTGCAGAAGTTATTTTTGCAGCATTAGCTGCGCTAGACCTGCACGGGTAATGTAGTCCGACAAGGCCTGTGTCCACTAAACATGGTCATTAGTACCGGACGACTTGATTAGTGCCCTCCCCCGTTACGAGCCCCCTAACAGACGTCCGCTAGCACCCGAATTTGCTATGGCTGAAACGTTGCCCCTGGCCTAGCCCACTTATTTCATTTCAAATGATGGTGTCAAGATTGGGATCTTTCACAAATATGGCTTTCTTTGGTGGATAATATAATGTATCAACCCTGGGTAGTGCTATGGGAATCCATCGACCGCAACGCTTACATATACCATTGTTGATGAAGAGAAACTATGCATTAGTAGTAACAAAAATGGTTCCACAACTCTTGAACAAGCATTTAGGTTCCCGCTGGGTATTATCCGTTGCACTGGCTGTTCCTGCGCACGGTGCAACGTTTATCTCCACCAATGATTACCCTCAAAAGGCCCATGGCTGCAGCCACCCAGATAACTTGTGTACACCTAACAAGCACTGTCAATGGTGGGAATCTCTTCGTGTATGCTCGGCTGAATTTGTGGTCGGTTTCCGACGCCAGGATCAAGCCCGGCCTTTCCACTACGGACATAGACCCGCCACCAAAACGTCCATAGCGGCCTCGCTTCGTCAACGCCCTTCATGCTTACCCCTGACACCCAGTAAAGATAGCTCCCCGTAAGAATATAAAGGGCCCAATATCATCATGTCTCTAGGAACCTCTCTGGGTATCTCTTGTCATCACTTTTTCTTGATTAGCAATCTCTTATTCTGTTCGTTCTTCGCCCGATATAACAATGGTCCGTCAACTTATCTTAATCGGTAGCCTGCTGGCAGCTGTTGCTGTGCATGCGGCACCTGCCGAACCCGCTCATCCCATGGTTACGGAAGCGCCTGACGCCAATTTGATTGAAAAGCGAGCGACAACTTGCACCTTCTCGGGCTCCGAAGGTGCATCCAAGGCCAGCAAGTCGAAAACTTCTTGCTCCACCATTTACCTGTCCGACGTGGCCGTCCCATCTGGCACCACCCTTGACCTCACGGACCTTAATGATGGAACCCACGTACGTTCTCGTCTTAGCTATACCCTGTTCTTCTACCCAAGCCCGTCAAGGGCTCCGGCTGACAGATGTACTAGGTAATCTTCCAAGGAGAAACCACTTTCGGCTATGAGGAATGGACAGGGCCTCTCGTGAGTGTCTCTGGAACGGATATTACTGTCGAAGGGGAGAGCGGCGCGGTGCTCAATGGTGATGGCAGCCGCTGGTGGGACGGAGAGGGTGGTAATGGCGGTAAAACAAAGCCCAAGTTTTTCTACGCCCATGACTTGACCTCTTCCACCATTAAGAGCATCTACGTTGAGAACTCTCCTGTCCAAGTGTTCAGTATCGATGGCTCCACTGATCTCACCATGACCGATATCACTGTGGATAACACTGACGGTGACACCGACGACCTCGCTGCTAATACGGATGGCTTTGACATTGGAGAAAGTACCTATATCACGATCACCGGTGCTGAAATTTACAACCAAGATGACTGCGTTGCCATCAATTCGGGAGAGGTATGCTCATCCTGGTACTGTGACCGAGCGGGGAGACGTGTTGCTGACCATCCCGTAGAATATTTATTTCAGTGCTAGTGTGTGTTCCGGGGGTCATGGCCTGTCCATTGGCTCAGTTGGTGGTCGAGATGATAACACTGTCAAAAATGTTACATTCTATGATGTCAATGTTCTCAAATCCCAGCAAGGTAAGGCAAACAACTTGAGAGACTCTTCTGGCATTCTCTAACGTGGGCTTTAGCGATCCGTATCAAGACCATCTACGGCGACACTGGCTCCGTCAGCGAAGTCACTTACCATGAGATCGCCTTTTCAGACGCTACTGATTACGGCATTATCATTGAGCAGAACTACGATGACACCTCCAAGACTCCTACTACGGGAGTGCCGATCACAGATTTTGTGCTCGAGAACATCATCGGAACGTGTGAAGATGATGATTGCACAGAAGTATATATTGCCTGTGGTGATGGCAGCTGTTCGGACTGGACCTGGACCGGCGTGAGTGTGACCGGCGGCAAAGTCAGTGATGACTGCCTCAATGTTCCCTCGGGAATTAGCTGCGATTTGTAGGCCGGTGTGGTGGGGAGGTATGTTCCTGGATACTCTGGACATATATTTAGCTAGCCCTGTGTAGTGTGGTGCGTATTCCTCTACACTCTTCACTGTGTGTGATAAAACCTCTTTGCGCGGGAAACGAGCAGTCCATGCTATGGGTTGGAATTTGCCGGTCGGATTGGGCATGGTTGATTATATGTGAAGAGTTGACGGAGAATGTTGAGGGTCTGCGGGATTAGTCAAGGAGCAAAGCGAAATGTTATCAGAGGCCCTCGGCCACGTTATGCTGGCAGCCTTCATAGATGAGGATAGGCTTACGAAGTCAAGAAGTACCAATTGTGGCGACTTAATACATGGTAGAGTCGAAATGGAGTGTGGCTGTTATGGCTTGGCTAACGTAGCACATGGCCAAACTTCTCCTGATTAACAGCCCGCTTAACCTTCTCTTGGCCTTCCTCTGATAGGTCACGATCGGTGTGACTGTGTGTGTAGTGTTGACAACATGGCGTCGAGATGCATTGAGGATTCCCATTGCGGGCGAAGAATTGAACGATCGGGAAATTGCACCAACCAAGTAAAAAGGCCGGATCTTGTTTCCCCGGCGGCAATTCCCGAGTGGCAATCACGTACCACGTCCGTGCACCGACCGTGACGCCATAGACCCATTGTTCATCTCCCATGATTCCATGGAACAACCCCCAATGGTGAACATGGGACGCAGGTTGCACTCGGGTTCTACGGCTATCAGGTCATCTTCATCGATATCGATAGTGTCGTAACTAGTAGTGTACCTCGATCAGATGGAAGCCCTTAAATAAGTATGGTGTACTTACATATACAGACATATCGTCTCCTTTTCGTTGGCGCCGAGTGTAGTGTCACCTCGCATTGTCAAAGGACTGTCATGGTTCAATGATGAATCATCGAACTCTGCGTATCCATGGAAGGCAATGCTGGTATAGGATGTCCCAGCCAATGAGAGGGTCTGTTGGCCAGTCCGAGATTCTGCAATGCTCCAGGAGACGCGAACCCATGGTTACACGATCTTGGGATAATCTAGGGGCGAGATATCGATTTTCACTACCGCCCTGCTGTTGGCAATCTTTTATGACCTCAAGCCCCTGCAGCAAACTAGATGGTTAATGATAGTCAACTACCATGTGCATGGATTGACATCGGGTTGAACAGTGACCGTCCAAGGCAGCCCAAAACTCGCCGTCCATGACGGTCAACCGCAATGCCGCCGTCCGCGCCGTCCCCGCAGTATTTCTGGCTGTGACTTCGATCACGGTCCTGCTCCGTTGTTATGTCCGTTTAAGGCTGGTAAAGGCCTTTGGATGGGATGATGGCCTCATGGTCCTAGCCATGGTATGTGGCGACCTTGCGACAGCGGATGAGATAGACAAGGCTGACATCTTCATAGGCCGTCTATGCCATGTTCTGTGGCGTCATGATCGGAGGCAGTCTATACGGCACGGGAAAGCATTTCGCTGACTTAACTGCAAGCCACCGAGTTACTGCAATGAAGGTGTGTTCAATCGTCTTTCTCGGCTCACAGTTCCTGTCAACTGACAATCTGTTCAGTACTGGTGGCTCTGCGAGATCGCATACTGCTTCTGTTCCATTTTTTGCAAATGTTCAATATGTATCTTTCTCACTCGTATCACCATCAAGCGGCCGCACCTCGCATTTCTCTACATCATCATGACTTGCACCGTCCTCATGGGACTTGTGCTCATGTTTTCCCTCTTGCTGCAATGTCGTCCTATCTCTTATTTCTGGACCAGGGTCGCCTTTGATCCCACTGTGGAAGGGACGTGTGTGAAGACCGAGTTAGTTATTGCCCTGACCTGGGCATACAGCGCAGTTGCTGCATGCTGTGATCTAGCGGTCGGGATTGTTCCATACTTCATTATTCGGAATTTGAATATGCCGTGGCGGAGAAAAGTGGCTGCGATCGGTATCAGCAGCATCGGTTGCATGTGGGTAGCCTGATATATCTGTCTTGTATCATTCCAGTTTCACTAACCGAGCTGTTGACAGTGCCTGCTGTGCCGTCATTGTTCGCATTCCTTATGTGCCCAC